GATTTGCATAAGAAGAAAGGAAGGAAAAGAGCCCGCAGTGGACAGGCAAAGGCATCATTAGGCAGCTGCCGTAGCGATTTCATTGAATATCGAATGTGGGGTTTCTTTTTTTCTTTTTGCTTTTTCTGCGGGGCCCCAAAACGCCGCCCATTTTGCTAAGCAAATTTGCAATTGGCTGCAGTCTGCTGGGGTTTTTGAAATGTAAAGGAGGTTGGGGGTCCCACATACAACATACAACTCTTTCTGTCTGCCTCTGTATCTCAATCGGTTTTCTTGTGGCCTTCGCTTCGTGTTGTCATTAAAATGTAAATCCGTTTAATTAACATTTTAGCCCCCCCCTCTCGCTGGTGGAAAAACGACCACCGGCCGATAAGACAGCCGAAAAGAATTGTTATAAATTGTAAATAAATTTAGACTCGGTCAGCGTATTTCTTAAATTCGAATTCTCATTCGTTTCGATTGGCAGCTGCATCGTGAGAGTTTTGACATGTCCGGTAGAAGAGATTTTGTTCAATCTTGGGTGGCTTTGTTTGCCCAGTTTCTCGTCTTTTGTTTCTCCGTTTCGGGGGCACTAAAATTATGCATAATTTACAGATTAATATGAGCATGCCAGCTCCGGTGGCCCCATGATGGGTCTACTGTAGTCTGTAGTCTGTAGTTTGTAGTCCCCTAAAATCTGGAATCTACCTGATCCGGCGACTTAATTAAGACATGGGTCTCTACGATCTTGGATCCCAGATCTCCGATCTCCGGCTGATCAAGAGTTTCGTTCGTTCGTGTCGATATTTATGGTATAGATCGCTCAATATGCATATCGCTTAATACTTAATACATAATACTGAATACGGCTTAATAAAAAACGACTCGACGCGATCTCGGCTTAGTCATCATTATCATCATCGGAGGCTCAGCGGCTCAGAGGCGCTTCAATTATGGCCATAATTGGTCAACAGGTAGCCGAAAATGGTTGTGCTGCCTAATTGAGTCCGGCGATGATCGAGAGTTTATCATTGTCATTGGATTTGTGGACTGAGCGGTGCCTTAGAACTCGCCAATGTATTTTGAGATCATTGAACCAATAACGACGATCCAGGGGTTCAGTTGATCAACCAATCAAGCCATCAGTTGTTCAAGCCGAAAATAAACATTTTGTTGATCACTTGCTGCCAATTTCAATTTGGCATCGATCTTCTTAACACGATCTCTAGATCGATTGGTCTTTTTTTTTTCTCTTTCCCCAAAGAAACCCAATTAAAAGTGGCCAAGTTGGATAACTTGGATAAGTTGGCTAAGTCGGACATTCACTCACGATCACCTTTTGCCAGAGTTCTTCTATTTGCCATTTTGCCATTCGGCTGAACTTTCCAACTGACGAGGAGTCAATTCAATCTAACTGGCGATCACCGTTAACTCGCTGGTTACATGCCAAATCGAATCAAAGTGTGAGTGATCATTCAATTAACCCAGCACGCCAGCAACACCAAGCTGCAACAGCAACATCGGTAACAGCAACAACTCGACGACAGCAATCACACAAGGCAACAAGCAACAGCAACAAACAACAGCGACAACGACAACGACAACGACAGTAGTGCCATCATCAGTTAAATTATGTGATAATATGCCAACAATGAGTGTGCAACAACAGCAACAACGAGCAATCTCCCAGCAGCAACAGCAGTAGCAAAAGCGATTTTACCTTTTAGCAATCAACACGCAAAAGCCAAAAACAAACGTGTTGCTGGCGGGGGAAGGAGCAACATCAGCAACGCAACAGCAACAGCAACAAGAGGAGCTCAAGCTGGGTGCAGATGCAACGAGCAACCAGCAACCAGCAACACGGGAGCAACAGCAGCAACACCAAAGGCAACATAAAATTGTCGCACCATTTTTGGTATTGACCGCCGGCGGCTCAATCAGTTTGTCACCCGGGCGATATATAGAGTGATTAACTGCTCAGCGGATTGGCACGGATTGCACTTTGTCAATATATATATATATATATATACACAGAGCAATCACAGGAGCAACATACGTGCTGCAATGCTGCAATGCATAAGTGCAATCATATATGTGCTAAAAATCTAGGCAATATTTGATGCATAATTGCCTTGGGTTTTTGTTCGCCAATCAATTCAATCAGCAAATACAATCACGCCAGCAGCAGCAGCAGCAGCAGCAACATCAGTTGCTGTTGCAGCAGCAACATCAGCAGCAATCTGGTTGCTGCCTGTTTGAGTGACGACAACTGCAACTGGCGACGACTGCGTGGCGTCCGTGTAATCGCACTTCATGTCTAATTAGACTTGTTTATGCCCATTTGGAAAAAGTGCAGAGCACTGAGTAGCAGCAACAGCAACAGCAGCAGCAACATTGCATGCTTATATTTTTATGGCTATCTTCACGGTTATTTTCATTTAAATCGCAATTCAAACTCGGCACAAACTCAGCGACCAAAATGACATTTTAAATGACAATTTTGCGCCTTGTGCAAAATGCAAAATGCGCCATGCATGGCAGCCCAATGAAAAATTAACGTAATAATGCAAATTGTTTTATCAATAAATTCTAGACACACACACAAATACACACACATACACTGCGATAAACTGGCGGCGTAATTATGATGATTGTCCAAATGAATTTATGTGTCAATAAATTTAAAGCAAATTAGCAAATGACGTTTTAAGTTGACGACAACGACGTTTTGCCTGCAATTTATGGACTGCGTTGCGATTTGTTATTTTTTATTTACTTTTTTTCGGCTTTCGCTTCGCATTTGATGGATGATCAGCCAGTCGGTCATAAAGTGTTTGCCTTTAAAAGGCTCTCCAACTTGGGCCAATTGGATATTTGATTTCGATTTTCATTTTCCACGGGGGCTAAAAGGCTAAAAAGCGGGTGGAGCAAAAGCGTTTAGTTCAAAATGGCGGGCAATTAATCAGCTCTTTGTTGGCATTTTGTTTGGCCTTTTGTGTTTGGCGTTTTCGGAATTTTTCGGTGTTTTTGGCTCTCGTTGAAGTGTTCGACATGAGGAGGGCTTCCAAAAAAGGGGGGAAAATCTGATTTGATTGGCTCGAAATTCATGGTAATGAAATGCAGGTACAACCACAAATCTATAAACAAAAGAAAATAGTGCAGTCATGTGTCTATCATTTAAGCTGATTAAGAAGAAGAAGTACTAATACTCATACTCAGAAAAGAAAATTAAATTACAAAAATTAGATGAAATTATTTTTAAACAAGTGCTGTATTTTTGAATAATTTAATTTTTAGTTTATTGAATTTTTAAAATATTTCAGACTTGACTTGAGGCAAACTAAAGTTTGTTTTAATAATATAAAAATCATGATTGGGCTTAGTAATCATATTTAAAAAATGAATTCAGTTACCATATTTCTATTTAGAACTTATATTCGGTAATTGAGTTTTTACCATTCTAAGGCATAGTATTATCTACTTTTTGTAGTCTTTTATATTTTTGGGTATTCGTATTGCTTCAAAATGAAGTCTTTATCCCCTCGTCCACTGGCTTTCGTCATCCTTGAATCTCCGCCCAAACACCCAAACACCCAAAAGCCATTCACACAGCACTCGCATTAGTCACACCTTCGTTTCGCTTGGGCCCGAGTCGCCATTGGTGGTCCGGTGGTCTTGGGGTTTTGGCTTTGGCTTTGGCTTTTAGCGAGAGGCGTGCGAATCCGGCGCAGATACAAGATACAAGATACTCGTACTATGAGATACACATTGTGGGCTGTCTCGCTTTGTTTGCTCTCTTTGTCTCCTTGCTTCGCTCGTTCTTCGTTGTAGCAACAAACCAAAAGTTGTTTTTTGTTTCGTTGTTTCGTTTTTTTTTTCTTTTTTCATTCCAAATTACACGAACAAAATGGCGACGGGTGCTGCTTGTGGGGTCTCCACACGCAGCAGCAACATCTACAGCAGCAACATCTACAACAGCAACATCAACAGACACAGCAGCAACTTGTCCGGGTTTTACTAGGCCTGTTTGTCTCTTAATCGAAGTCGAGCCGACGAGTTATGGTAATTAAAAAGGTGTTCCTTTCTGCAACAACGAAACGGATCGAAATGGATTGGGCCATCTATATAGAGGGGGGATATTGCAGCTAGCTTGGGGGGTCTCTCTCCTTCTCTGTATCTCTCCCTTTCTGTCTTTCTCAGCCTTTTCTTCTCGGCCGTCGACAAATTCATATTTTATGACAACAACTTTGTATTGGCACAAGGCTCCCTCGTCGTCCTCCCCATCCGTAAACCCTGGTATATATCTCCTCCTCGATTTTCTCGTGCCTTTTGGTGGGTGGTCGTTGGCTGTCTCGCAAATGTTGCCAATGTTGCCGCCGTCGATGTTGCTGTTGCCGCTGCTGTTGCTGTTGGCTGGCGTGTAAAGTGAACGGCGACGGCGGCAAATCGTCAGCAATGTCGCCGTATTTTTCGGGGTCCCTCACCTAGGCAAATTTACGGTAACTGCACGGGGAGAAAATTATTTAAAACTGTCTAAAAAGCAGGGAAATTTTAGTACAAAATTTAAAAAAGGACATACATTTTCGACACCAAAAAACATTTTATATGGTCTTTTTTGGGAGGGATCCTTAATCAGGAACATTTCTTAAAAAATGAATTTTTATAAAAAATAATAGGCGTTAGAAAATATTTATTTAAAATAATATAATGATGCAAAGAATTTTTTTTGTCTCGGATCTTATTTGCAAAAAAGTTTTAAGTAAATGTCTAATTATTTCGCTATAGTTTATTTTATGTATAGAAAGTCCTTCCCCTTCTTAAGGTAATTTTCTCTCAGTGTGCTTGTGCTTGAGGTTTTCTGCCGTTTAGAATAGAGTTTTGTGAATTCTTTGCGCTGCCTTGGTTCCTTGGTCTCCCGTTTTTGTTTTCCCTCGGTTGGTCGAAACGAACTAACCATGGCCGTCTGACAACTTCACTAATCCCCCATCCGTTTGCATCTATTTTTATTTGGCTGCCCGCAGACGATCCTGAACTCGATGCACAAGTACCAGCCGCGTTTTCACCTGGTGCGAGCCAACGACATCCTGAAGCTGCCGTACTCCACGTTTCGCACGTACGTCTTCAAGGAGACCGAGTTCATCGCCGTCACTGCATATCAGAATGAGAAGGTGAGTACTGGGGTCTTGATCGTCTATATTGCTTATTGATCGCTTACTTACCCTTTCCCCCGCAGATAACTCAATTGAAAATCGATAACAATCCCTTTGCGAAGGGCTTTCGTGATACCGGTGCTGGCAAGCGGGAAAAGAAGTGAGTATCACTAGTGAATAATGGGGGCTATGTGATTTTTACGATTGGTTACTGAAGGGCACTATAAATTGGTATACAATGGCAAAAGAAAATATATTTCTAGAAGACTTCCAGAAAGGAAATCAAGGGAGTAATTTAAAAATAAATACTCTATAAAAATACTATGTAAATACTGTACTATAAATAAATATTTGTTTAAAGATTCCTTTGAAAAATTAAGAAAAATAACTACGTAATTAGTTTCAATAAATATACAATTAATCTGGTTTAAAAATAATAATTTTATACAAGAATTTTAGTCAATATTTATCCTAACAAAGTTAAAAGCTGAAGATCCTATATTTTATTATAAATTTTTAGTTTTTAGGAGATTCATAGCTACTTTTTAGGAGATTTAGAAAGAAGTTGCCCCGTTGTTTGCTTCACCTCTCCCCAAAAAAACTCATCCAACTTCACTATTGCCCCGAAAAATCATTATCAAAAAACAAACTAATCAGGACACGGCTAATGGGAAAAGGGCAGGGGAAATGGGAAATGGAAAGGGGAAATGGAAATGGTTGGCCTTTTGTGGCTGCCAGACAATCAAAACTTTGCAGCTCCCTAGCCGAGAACTCATTTGTCTCTTTGGTCTGGAATCGCATCGTATCGTACCGACTGCCATCTAAATCTCCATCTCCATCTCAATCAGGCCAGCCATCCATCTATGTATCCCTGCCCCCCCTTTTCCTGTTTTGTGGCTTGATTAGCAGGCCAAAGCTACGAAATACAGAGATACCGAGATACACAGATACAGATACTTTTACAGGGCGACACAAGGACATTAATTTTTGTGAAATCTATGCGGAACTAATTAGCCTGCAGCTTGTCAAATTGCAAGTCATACAAAGGAGGAGGCTGGGAGATTGTGGGCGTGGCTGATTCGGCTGATATGTCTGATTTAGAGAGCCAACGATGATGATGCTCATGGCCATTTGACTTCTGTTTTTCCGTTCTTCCGTTTCTCTGATGACTGGCACCTCCGATGGCAGCTCGAACATGTAATCCATATTGATGGATTGATTTCAATTTCCTGTCGAACGGAACGAAGGGGGGGAGAACCACATACCCCCTGAAGGGCTGTTAACGATGATGGTCAGGAAAAGCTTTGAGTTTTTAGCACACAGATTTTCCAATTTCTGTTTGCTGTTTTTAGGGGGCTGTGGGGGGGTTGATCTATCCCCTTTGTCGAGTGGTTCCGGGTTCCGGGTTCCGGTTTCCTGTGTGGGTGACTTAGCATAATGATGAATGACATTTAATAGCCGAAACCCCCGCGTCGAAATGTCCATGCTTAAACGTTACAAATCAATTTTCACCCACAGCCACCCAACGTGGAACATCCACCGCATTTGACACAAACAATTTACTCAAGTCGAGAACCGAGAAAGCTGATTACTTCTGGCTTGATTGGCATTAGCGTGTCTGTCTAACCTAAGCTCTCTTCTTTTTTTTTTATTTTGTGGCCCAGGCCCAAAAAATCACTGAATTGGCCTGGTCATTGATGTGACAGCCAGTTGTCAGGCAGTCAGTTTGTCAGTTCTTCTACCCAATTGTTAATTAAATGCCAAGGGAAAGGGGCAAAAAGGGGTCGAAAAAAAACAAAACCGCTAAACCGCTTACAATTCCGCAGAGCAAAAGAGCCCAAGTAGAAGAAGAACAACCTGAAAGTCCTGGGAGCTGCCAAAAATCCTTGGCAATTAGTGACGACTTAGTCAACTCTTTTTTTTTTGTCCATCCAACAACCCCCTTTGGCTGCCACGCCCCTGCCATGACAACAAAATAGAAGGGAAAATGGGAAATAGGGAGGGGAAATATATCCTGGGTGCCGGCATGATGGCATTTCGAGTCCTTCACAGCAAGAGATGCTAATTGGTGGCAATCTAGTGCGCAACTTCCGCCGGAATGATATTCAACTGCCGCACTGCACACAAAAACACAAAAAGCGAAACCCCTTTCGGGAAAACTCCTTTAACCTTTAGCCCCCTTTAGCCCCTCGAAAAAACGGCGGCACTACGCCTGCGGCGCAACGAGAACCGGAAATCCAAAGTGAAAACGTTTTAACAGCAGCAATTGAAATTCGCTTTTCTCGGCGCCTTTTGTTGTTCCTGTTGCTTTGCGATTTTTGCGCAAAAACTCTCACCCCATTTGGGATTATTATGCTTTTTTCTAACCCGAGGCGTTAGTTGACAATAGGTCTCGGTCTCTGGATTCTGGATATTTATATATATAAATATATATATGTGTATAGAGAGGAAAGGGGGCTTTGTGGGCGTGCGTGGGCCGTTTAAGCCGCAAATTTAGACGTAATTCAAAAATTACAGAGCACACAAAGCGGAGCGCAATTTCTTTGGACCTCCTGGAAAACCCAAACCACACCCATGGTAATGGCAATAGCAATAGCAATGCGAACAACTCCCTTTTGGGGCGTTTACTCTACTACAACAACAACGGGAGACAAAAGGGCAATAGATAAACGTCTTTAGGTTTTGGGCCGAATTTTATGGGCCCGCTGCATGAGATATTCAGGGACGGAATTAGTGGTAAAAGGTTGAAAATTAAGTGGAAAAAATATTAAAACTATTCTATTAATCCAATAATCCATAAATTTAAGATAAAATACAAAATGTGCCATCACTTTATGTTTAGTAATTGTATTAAGTTTATATTTTTTTACCATAAATATTTTATTACCATAAATATTCGCATAGGATATTATATAAAAAAAAAAAAAAATAGAATACAAAATTTATTGTAATTTATTCAAGTTTAGGATTCAATTTTTTTGATTTATTTTTATAATTTTTTATATATTTTAAGTTTAGCTCCCGATCAAAACACTTGGTAATAATATCTTTATAAATTGAAATCCCATAACCTTCTTATATATTTTTTAAGCGCCCCGAAATCAACGGGCCCTTTTCCGCCAAACTTTTCAACGATCCCAGAGGCAACCCGGGAAAAGTTGGCCGCGTCTTGGCCTTTGTAGTTAAGTGGGTGGGTCAGATACGTTGCCTGGATTAACACAAATTGATTTGCTATTAAATTAGGCTCTCGCACACACAGACACACCAACTCATACACACACAGGTGGAAAAACAGTTAAGTGTAAAAGAAGACGCCCTTGGCGCAATGCCAGCAATGCAAAAGTGGGTGGTTCTGGGTGGTTTCGGGTGGCTTCGGCCTGGCCTTTTCCACTGGGTGTGGTTGCTGTGATAATGATACACACACACCGTTCGCATGTGTGTGCTGCCAGCTAAAATTGCCCAATTTGCGAGGCAGTTTCGGCTTTGATGTGTGAACAACAGCGGTGCGGAAAAATAAGGAAAATTGAAATGGAAAATGTGCGGTGTGATGGGTGGGAAATGCAGGGAGATCCAGGAGGAGGGGGAGGGGGCGGGAAAAGATTGGCCAGAGCAGACACTAAATTACACTAACGTGTTTTGAATTATTTTTCAATTTCATTGTCAGCCGCAGACATACGGACATACGGACAAACGGACGGACAGAAGAGGTTGTGTGGGGTGGGGAGGAGAACTCCGGCCCGTTTCCGCCTCACATTGTTACATTTCAATTAAGGTTCAGTGGGTGATATACCCCGATATACACGTTCAGTTATCCACATTTGGGCTTTCGGTTTTTCGGGGGCACACGTCACAGAACTGACAGAAGGCACTGTATATGCACATATATAGATATATTTTAGCAGTTTTCGGGCTCAAACGGTGCAAAACATGGAGGAACCGCCGCCAGCGCTGGTTTATCATTTAGCAGATATTTCAGTTACCGACAATATTATCAAAGCTTGATACCCTGATCCCAACGAAAATTCCACAGGAAAATCAACCGACAAATGCGGCCAAAAGGTTGAATGGGGAATGGGCGAAACTGATTGATACGACTGGTTTGAGAGGAGGATTAGAGGTGTTATCCGGACTTTTATTAAGTAGGATTTTCGTGGAATCACAGTTAAAGCTTGAAAAGTAACGATATTATCGATTAATCGGACACACCAATATTTTTCTGATACAATATTATGAGAATATCGAAAATATCGATATTTTCTAGCTCTAGTTTCTAGCTTATCCTTAACTCATCCTTTGCCACATAAGAAAACCAATTTATAGAAGTGCTCATTATCAGTATGAAATCAATTGGGGCTATCTCCTTCCACCTGACCATTGGATGTTCTAATTTGTGGCCCCGTCTCTCGTACAACTGTTGTTACAGGCAGGCGCTGATGTCGAATAGAGGGTCCGACTCGGACAAGTTGAATCCGACGCACGTGAGCAGCTCCCGGGCACCGCTCCACCTGGGCCACGCCGGTCGTCCGCCCCACCTGCATCCCCATGCCGCCCTGCTCGACCAGCAGCAGGACGACGACGACAAGCTCCTGGATGTCGTGGGTCCGCCCCAGAGTCCGCTCCTCCCGCTGAGCCACTCGCTGCAGCAGATGCACGCCCACCAGCACTCCGGTGAGTAGTATTCCAAAGTTTACTTAATAAATATTTTAAGGGTTTGAGGGTTCAGTGATGGGTTCAGTGATCCTAAAAACTTAATTTTTGAGTTTAAGAAGTTTTTCAATGAAATTACTATTAAAAAAAAAAAGAATTGAAAGTTTAAAATCTAAACCTTATAATATTTAGTATTTATTTGGTATTAAAATCATATCAATAGTATATTCTAGTAGATACTTTGTATTATCTAGTATTAAATCAATACCTTTCATTTGTCCTACATCTTGTATATTTTTTTTAAAACTATACTACAAAGTTCTTACTTTGTGTTATAAGGTATTAAGTCAATTTCAATTTTGAATACTTTATCCAGTACATATAGTATATTTTTAACACACCTTGGTTATTAGGTATTAAGTCAATTGAACTTTTTTATACTTTATCCAGTGTATATATACTAGATTTTTAACACAATATATAGTATATTTTCTACACTTCATAAGAATTAGTAGAATTTAGTATTAAGTTTATTGAACTTTTTTATACTTTATCCAGTATATCTAGTATATTTTTAACACAATATATATGTTTTCTACACTTTATAAGAACTGATCTCCCATCACTGCTCCTTGAGAGGAAACTATTGACCATATTCCACAACTGATTACTGATGACCCTCCAACCTTTTTTCCATTTCCTCCCACAGCCTTGGCTGCCTGGTTCAATCACCTGGCGGGCGCAGGGGCCGGAGCCTCTGAGCACGCGGCTGCGGCGGCGGCGAATGCCAGCGCGGAGGACGCCCTGCGTCGCCGCCTGCAGGCGGACGCCGATGTGGAGCGGGACGGGAGCGACTCGAGCTGCTCGGAGAGCGTCGGCGGCAGCACCGGCGGTGCCTTCAGGCCCACCTCGACGGGCAGTCCCAAGGAGGCGGTGGGCGCAGCAGCGGCCGCCGCAGCGGCTGGCCTGAATCCCGGCGGCGGCAGCTACCCGTCGCCGAATATATCGGTGGGTCCGCCCATCCATCCGTCGCCGCATCTGTTGCCTTACCTCTATCCCCACGGCCTCTATCCGCCGCCGCACCTGGGTCTGCTGCACAATCCGGCAGCGGCAGCGGCTATGAGTCCCGCTGGCCTCAATCCGGGCCTCCTGTTCAACGCCCAGCTGGCGCTGGCCGCCCAGCATCCGGCGCTGTTTGGCCACGCCTACGCGGCGGCGGGACACACGCCCGTTTCGCCGCTGCAGGGCCTCAAGAGCCACCGCTTCTCGCCGTACAGCCTGCCGGGCAGTTTGGGCTCGGCCTTCGATGCGGTGACCCCCGGCTCGAATGCCAATCGATCGGGGGATCCGCCGGGCGGAGGCCTCGGTGGTGGCGGAGTGGTGGAGAATGGGCCGCGGAGCCTGAGCTCCAGCCCACGGCCGCGACCCGCCTCCCACTCGCCGCCCACCCGACCGATTTCCATGTCGCCCACCACGCCGCCCTCGCTGATGAAGCAGCCACGTGGCGGAGTGGCCCAGTCGCAGCACTCGCCGTCGGAGCTGAAGAGCATGGAGAAGATGGTCAACGGGCTGGAGGTCCAACACAATGGCAGTGCGGCGGCGGCAGCGGCTGCGCTTCAGCTGGCGGAGGAGGCCGCCCAGCACCACCAGGCGCATCACACCCAGGCGCACCACCCACAGCAGCAGCAGCAGCCGCACTCGCACCACCCACAGCAGCCACCGCAGCCGCACTCGCACCACCCGTCGTCGCACCACCAGGCGCACCACCACTCGCAGCACCACGGAGCGACGACGGGCGGCGGGGATCAGTGACAATTACTGGACGGCCGCTCCGATTGCGAGGAGGGCGGCCTGGACTTGGAGCTGGAGCTGGAGGAGGATGTCGAGGAGCTGGAGCAGGAGCAGCACGATCCCGACGACCAGGACGAGGACCGCAGCTCGGTGATCGATCTCGATCTGGATGTCGACGTCTGACCGCGAACGGATGAGCGGGAAAGCCTCTAGCCTCCGAACTACACGGCCACCGTTTTCGTGGCTTAGCTGGGGTTCGGCAGTGTGTACATAATATAATGGATTTGGATGCGGATGTGGATTGGAACCTAGCATATAGGCATTTGTAGCATATAGCATATAGTATATATATATATATATATTGTGCATATTCCTCTCCCTGCTTGAATCACTCTGCCTGTTCTTCGCCAGCTTAAGATATTCTTTTTTTTTTTTGCCTCGTTTCTAAGCAAGCCTAGCCCCTAGAAATCGCTGGCGATCCGCAGGCAAAGTGATGGAGAGGTCTATCGGCAGTCGGAGAAAGTTAAGGGGACGTGGCAAAGGAATCGATGAAACTCTTTTTTAGCACCTTCAAGGGTCAATGGTCAATACTTCAAGATCAAATATACAAAGCAAAAAAAAAAAAAAAAAGGAAGAGAGATACAAGGAGCTCCTTCTCAGACAAATTTATAAGGCATATAAGGCATACGATATGATGTATCAACCGTAAATGTATATTGATTGGATTGGAAATAGCAACATCAAAGATGGCGCCTCTTTATATACATCTAGAACACATATATATAGTATATATAGAAGCGGATATATATACAGATTGTAACCTTAGTAAAACAAACAGGAGAGAAAAACAGGAGGAGAGAAAGAAAAACAATGAAAAGAAAAGCCCACAAAAAAAATACCACAAAAAACAAAATAAATGCAATTTTTTTTCTTAGTCTTAGGTGGATGAATTTTTTTTTAGTAAACGTAAATAAAACCTATATACATAGAAATATATATACATGAATAATTTATGTAGCTCTTAAGTACCAAAATACCGTAAACACTCAACAAACGAACACACATGCAGCACCACCCCCCACCCACACTCACACCCCCACACACAAACACACACCAGTGACGAGTTTTCTTCGTAGACGATGGAAAATGCTTATAAAATAAACCTATATACGAACTATTAGAGCTTGAGTTTTCCTATTTTAACCATAATATTTTTTTTCGATTTTTTTTTCGTACTTTTAAGTTCTAAAAACCAAAGAAGAAAGTAATCAATTTTTTTTCGTATTTTTATTTTAATTTCGGAACCCCCTGAGATGCTAATTTAGGGCACGAGTTCTGTGTGTGTTTATATCATAAATAAAAATATATATACTATAAATGTATGGATAAAAAAATATAATTTTTTTTATTAGTAAAGTACATTTTTTTTGTGTAAGATGGATTGAAAAAAAAGGAAAAAGAAGTGAAAAGAGTTGAATTCAACGCATGTTCCTCGCATAATTTAAGAGAGAGCGACAAAGACGCAGCTAACACACACCCACACACACACCCCCCTCTCACACACACTCGCACACCAGGACACCAGATACACCCACACAAGTAACGAGAAAAAACGAGAAAATTCACAAAAAAAAAATTAAAATAAATTTCTGTAGCAATTTGTTTTCCTTGTAACCCAATAATAATGCAACATCACACCATCACATCATCAACGTCATTATCATCATCACCTGCATCATCATCATCATCAAAGCATTCTTATGATGGAAGAGAATTAATTTTTTTCTGTTGGTTAGCTGTTTTTTGAAAATGAATTATACGCAAAAGCAATATTAATTATAGTTAATTAAATGTAAAACAAACGCAAACAACCCGAAACAAGAACAGCAACAGCAACAACAAGAACAACAAATTATGTACGAAAGGATATATATTTAAATATATATATGTATATGGATAAAATTAATGAAGAAGCAACAACACCTCATGTCACTGCAATTATATATAAAATTAATTAAACAACAACAAAACAAAGGAAATTAAATAAAAATTATTACTAAAAAAAAAAGCAAACAAACACTGAATTTTCAACAAATATTAATGGTACAAACTGGAACAACAACGATGGCAAAACATGCAATCCAAAATGGGTTCTCGTGTTTCATTAGTTTTCCCGCTTATTTGTTTGGATCTCTTTTTTATTTATTTTATTCGGGGCTTATTGTTTGTTGTCTGGTCGCTGGATTTCCCCCCGCTTCCCTCCCCGAAATGAGCAGCGCCAACGGGAATATTAAATAAATGAATAAATAAATATCAGCGACTGGCAAACAGTGCGTGTCATAATTAACTGTCCGCCGTGTGACCCACACTGCCCGCCAATTGTCTGCCTACCGATGGGTTGCCAGGCAATGGCGAATCTGGGGATTTACTGACCAGGCTTTTCACTTCATTGTCCCCAAAAAAAGCCTTTTTACAGCGATAGAGTAAGTATCAAAAGGGAAGTCCCAGTAGAGTCTGTAACTTAAATGATGAAGCTAAGAATAACTGTTATAACAGATTAAATAAATATTTTATTAATTGGAGAGCTTAAAAATTTTTAAACAAATAATAAACAGATAAATAAATCCAGCGTCTAGCTGTAACGTATCCCAAAATAAAAATTGTTCTTTATTACAAAATGTTTTTTTTTAAAACCTTAAAGCAAATCTTAAATATCTAAATTTAATAAAATAAAAATATATATAAATGTTACAAACTGATATACACTTTTTATCCGAAAAATCGAACGTACTAAAAATTTGTTCCTCTATTTATTTTCTTACGAATTGTTTTTCGCAAACTGTCTCTTATCTACACCCTCAATTTTAAAAGTTACTTCAAATCGACTGAAGTTGCCCAACTTGACGGCCGGATATCAAAGGTGTAACATTTAATTTAATAAAAACTTCGCCTGTGGCCTTGACTTCAGTTTCAGTTCCAGTTTCAGGCAGCTTGGGCTAATCCAAAGCGGCGATTATCGTTGGGTGGCTAAGCCAAGCGTTAAGCACTGGCTAATCGAATTTGGCACGAATGCTCCCAACTCGACGAGATAACGACGGATTACGGATTATTTGTATTTTTTGATCCGCAATTGAAAGCCCGCATGCGGTAGATATATATACAAAATATATAAACATATATAGTGTCTGGAATCGTTGGTTACGCCCGACTGCCGGCGGTTGTAAATTGTAACGCTTCACTAGCAAAAGGCGCAAAGAGTTTAAGTGCAGGAACCCCCTGCCCATTTTTATTAACCCTTTCCTTTCTCAGTGCCCACGCACCGAGTGTTTTGGGCCAAAAGTCAAATAGAATTGAATGCCCAACATAAATTACGTATTATTAATTGCCGCCGCCGCTGTCGCCAGTGTCACCAATGTCACCACCGAAACAGCAAACGGCAAACAGTCGACCTAACCAACTGTTCGACAAAAGGGGTTATGTCGATGTTGACAACAATAATATCCCCACCTCCATAGCCGAACCCCACCTCCTGATCCCACGCACTTGAGTCATATCCCTCGGAACGAAAGAGTTAAAAAGTTAGAAATGTATGGTACTACATAAATGGAATAATATTACAAACCATTCTTGTCGATAGATTGGTCTGCCAAGTCAGATTCCCAATCAATGCAGCATAATAATGGTTCCGGATCACAAAGTAATATCTTTAATATCTATAAATTCACCAAGAATAAAATTGAGTACAGATGATTTTAAGTACTTTTACTCCAAAATCCGATGAATCCAAATGGAAGCCATCACCTTTATTACCCATCCATTTTAAGATCTGACTTTCGATCCGCCCTTGTTCCGTCCCACCCGCTGATCCCGATGACAGCCATCCATCAGCCGAAACTTTCTGCACGTCATTGGGTCGAACATGCAAACACTCGCTGGTATAAATATTTAGATATCTCCGTCACTAAACATGAATTGGCATTATCATAACTTGCGTTTTATTGCCAAAACATTTATGAGCGACAGACAGCGAGAAGGGTTTTTTTCGGGAGGGTGGGGGAGGGGTTTTAGGGGGCGAGAATTCAAAAGGTGGAGAGTGCGTCAAAGTGCGTGTCGAAAGTTACTGGGCATACGAAGGCGAATACCCTTCGAGGGTCGGCCTTCGGGGCAGGGTTCCTGCCATAATGATCATAATAATAGTTTTACGGGTTAGAGAAGTCACAGTCGCAGCGACAACGAGCAGCCATAATTTAGCGGCAAATCGACATTGGGTTAAATCGACGAAATGCCTTTTGTCCTTTCCCCTACACGAATAGTGACGGGGCAATACCTGGCTAAATGTACCTATTTACATTATTTTGTAAAATATTTTAATGATTTCTGAATTACATTTTAGGTACAAGATATGTTGTACAAATTTTTAAGAATATTCTGAATTTTTCCTTAAAATATGAATTCTATCTTTTTAAAGAACAAATCACCTTTTGTTGCTACTTTAATCAGCATACTAACACAAAATGCAAACAGTACCTTAACCATGTCAGGGAATACCTGTCTATATGTACCTAAATATTTTATTTTAAATATATTTTAATCTAAAGATATTCAGAATTCATTTAAAATGGGTCGCAAGCCTCATGCTAGCATTAAACTAAAACATCGTAAAGTGTTTTCTGAGTTATAAGTACCAAATATATTCCAAAAATCCCTGAGAATATTCGGAATTATTCCTAAGAATATGAATGATATCTTTATAATTCCGTTAAAATAAAGATCGAAACTTATTTTGTTGCCACTTTATCCAGGATACCAACACAAAATGCGAACAGTACCCTGTACCTTGGGGTTACAGGTACTGTATACCTTAAACATCACTGATTTTAACCCCTTGACGATGCGTAGACGTTGCGTGTGTGTTAACCCAAAAGGGGTGGCCTTCGGCGGGTTGATGGGCTGTTGGGCTTTCGGGCTGTTCGGCTGATGGGTGGGTGGCTCAAGTTTGTTATGCATATTTGATTAGTTAGCGCATTTTGTGGATACGCACAGGAAGTTGACTCTTTGCGTGCAGCGCTGCGAAGGGGTTGAGATCACCCCCGAAGCCCCCTTCCCACAAATGGGCGGAGTTGTTGTTGTACGTAAGCGGCCGCACGGCAGCAATTAAAATGCTCAACTTGTCAACAACGCATTCCATTTCCATCCCCCCAATCCACCAATCCAGCAATCCGGCAGTCCAACAATCCTGTCAGTTGGCTTCGCAAGAGGCTTTGATTTGTGGACAACAGAAAGTCCAAAAACTGTTGACAACACGATGATGGTGATGATTCAGTCGGCAGCTTTTGCTTGGTGGCGATGATTCAGCCGATTGGGATGTTCCGGAAGGCGGGGAAATGACTCTGGACTCTGGTTTCTGTTCTCTGGATGCTTTCAACTTTTTGCTGGCTCTCCTTCGAATCATTAGCCACCAGGGAATTTCTTCGGTCTTGTATCTAACTTGGTTTTTTATCAGGCTTTAATATTTGAAGAAGATTTACAATATACAATTTTTTCAACATTTCATCAATCTTAAAATATAATATATATAGATGGTATATTTAAGATACCATTATATATCCATTATATCAAGTTTAACCCATAATAAACCTTTAATTACGGAAACCACTATGCTACTTGCAACTTATTGGCAGTAGCTCATAATCAAACTAAAGAACCTCCATCAGTAGTAGCTATTTTTAAGAATCCTGCAACATTGTAAGTGTAATTTGCATACTCTTCGACTTTCAGCTGCCTGCGAATATGGGATCTGACGTCAGGCAGGACCAGTATCCATTATCCCTGGGGCTCCAAGGCCGCAAAAAGCTTCCACAGTCAGCACCTCGATTAATGGACACGGCCTAATCAGGAAGCGTT